GGGGAGGAAAGGACAGAGGGTGGGGGCTTCCTTGGGGGGGGGGGGAAGGAGTGGAGGGTGGGTAGGATATAGAGATCAGTCATTCTGAGAGCACTAAGGATTAGCAAGGCAACAATGAAAACCAGCCCGGCCAGCAGCAAGAAGAATCGGGGTTAAAAACTAGGAAGGTAGTGTCCAGAGATAGTTTCCAGAGATACCTAGAAAGGTTCTTAGCAAGCCTGTGAAGCATCAGGTATGATGCAGGGCTGCTCTACAGAGCCTGTGTCTGGCAGAGGCAGGACAAAATGAAACTGAGTCAATTAATGTGAGGATTTAGATGGAACAGTAGGAAGGACTTGGATTTGGAATGTTACCAGGTTCAAATTCCAGGTTCAATGGCCGTTTTTAGGCAGCAGTGGTGGACAGAACACAGAACCCAGCTAAAGTGGCCTGGGCTTCAAAGTTCATGAATGAACAGGAGGGTTGAAGTTGAGGATTTGTGGGATCTTGTCCTGATTTCCAATTCTTCCAGCTCACAGCTGAGAATGGGACTTAGTCCTGAAGCAAGGGATGAGCTTAAGGCCTCCTCCTGCCCTGCCTCCAGTCTCATGATCCCAAAAGAGACCCACGCTGACCGCAGTGGTCTCTCAGCACTGGCTCCTTGAGAGGGCCCTGGGTTATTGGGCCAGTGTCAGCCAGAACATTAGTTTATGAGTGCTTGGAGAGTGAGCCAGGAGATTCTTGTAAGGCAAAATTGTGGGGATCCAATGGGAGAGGCCAAAGACTCAGAAAGGGCAATTAGATGCCCTTGTTCCTGGGAAAGAACAGCCTAGGGCAGGCTCCTATGTAGAGGAAGAGAGTTGAGGGGAGTGTGGGGGCTGCAGGGGGACCTGGGGAAATAGCAATCTGGAGGTAAGTCACTAAAGGGAGGGACTGCTGCAGGGCGGGGATGCGGGGGGGGGTAAGGGAGAAGGCCATTTCCTTCTTTCTGTCTTTGGGGAGAGTGTGGGTCTTTGTTGGAGGTGGCAAGGGCTCCAAGGCTCAGGAGGTAGCTGGGCTTACAATCGTGAGCCTGTGATCAGCTTAGCTTCAGAGATTGGGGTTTACAGACCATCTGCTTTATCCGAAGATTTCCAGCTGACAAGGAGCTAGGAGGCTCACACACCATCTTGCCTGGGTCCTAGGCAAGCGAGTTGGACTGCGTGTTCTTCCTTGGCAGGTGAGAGGGTTGAGGGTGCCCTGGGTGGGGACCTAGACTAGTCTTAGTATTACTAAGGTTAGCCAGGCCTTCCTGGTTACCCCCAAAAGACAATAATAACAATATTACTCTCAGAAATAATAACAAAAATGTGCTGGGTTCATTATATGCGAAGGGCAGTATTTTAAACTATTTCATATGCATCACTTTCTTAATTTTCATAATAATTGTGTGAGGTAGATACCACTGTTATTCTCAATTTGCAGATGGGGAAACTAAGCCTCAAGAATGGTGAATGACTTGCCCAGTACAACACAGCCAGGAAGTAAGAGAGTTGGGGTCAGAGCTAGAGTCTGGCCAGTTCCAGAGCCCCTGAGGGTAGACCAGGTGACATTCTCCTCTACCATACAACAAAGAAAATGTCTATCTGGGTCATTATGTGGAATTGCCTTCCAAGAAAGCAAGCCTTGGCTGGGAATGTGGCTGAGTGGTAGAATGCTTGCCTAGCATGCATTAAGCCCTGGGTTTGATTCCTCAGTACCACACAAATAGAAAAAGCTGGAAGTGGCACTATGGCTCAGAATGCTAACCTTGAGCAAAAGAATCTCAGGGACAGTGCCCAGGCCCTGAGTGTAAGCCCCAGGACTGGGGGGGGGGGAAAGCAAGCAACCCTTCCCCTTTTTGTCTCTTCCTCTGTTTCCTCCTTAGAGAAGTCCCTAAACCTTGGCAAAGATGGTGCCTACCCCATCACACCAGGGCACCTCCTCTACTCCTGAGCCTAGAGCACAAGGTAGAGATAGAGCAAAGACATGACAGATGTAGCAGGGAAGACGATGTAAGTAAGGATATGGCCCAAGGCTGGTGGCTCAAGCCTGGAACCTGAGCAACTCAGGAGGCTGAGATTTGATGGTCATACTTGAAAGCCAACCTGGCAGAAAAGTCCATGAGATTCTTAACTCCAATTCACCACTAAAAAGCTAAAAGTGGAGCTGTGGCTCAAATGGTGGAGTGCCAGCCTTGAGCAAAAATGCTAAGGGACAATGCCCAGGCCCAGAGTTTAAGCCCCAAGACCAGCAAGGAAGGAAGGAAGGAAGGAAATAAGGGCGGGAGGGAGGAATAGAAGGATGGTAGTGTGGTAGGAGCGGGAAGAGTTGATGGTTTGGGGTCCTTCTGGGACCAGGTGTTTCCAGGGCAGAATGGCCCAGGATCTCAGGGAGAAAGAGCTACTGAAGATGGAGGTGGAACAATTGAAGAAGGAGGTGAAGAGCCCCCGAGCTCCGGTAAGCCTCCTCTTCCTTCCCCTGTCTCCTGTTCTCCATGTCTTCCATCCTGCAAGGAGGGGGTGGTGGGCTCTTTCTAGAGCAGCAAGCAGTGCCTCTGGGAGGGGGATGAGATGCAGAAAGACGCTGGGGTCCCCTCTACCTGCCCAGAGGCAGGAAAGACCTCTGGAGCCAGAGAGAGCCCTGTGGATTCTGCCTCATCTCCAAACTAGGCTGGCCAAGCGTCCCATAAAGGTCAGAGTCCATGTCTGAGGTGTCAGGCTAAGGGTTTCAGCTCTCATGCCTGTGTGTCCCCTTCCTCTCCTGCTTCTTTAGCTTTCATTCCTACTCTGCCCAGAATCTCATTTTCCTGCAACTGGCCAAGTCATAGATTCTGAGAAATAAACAAAGGCTGTGAACAGATTTTTGTGTTCTTGCAGATTTCCAAGACAGGAAAGGAAATCAAGGATTATGTGGAGGCCCAAGCAGGGAATGACCCTCTTCTCAAAGGCATCCCGGAGGACAAGAATCCTTTCAAGGAGAAAGGCACCTGTGGGATTAGCTGATAGCCCAGAGCCCTTAGCCCTGTATATCGGTCCTTCATCAGCCAGGATCAAATCCTGGGATACCCAGGATCTCCTCTTATTGCAATGAGTAAAGATGCCAATGAAAGCCTGTGTATCTATTCACAATCCACTTTAAGTTCTTTCCTCCATTCGTCTCCCCATCTGCGGGATCACCACAGACCCCACTTGAAACACTCCAGGGAAGCTTTGAAAGCTTACCAGGTGGCATATGGGTTGCAGGGAGGGAAGAGCCTGAAATACCTACTGGACAACCCTAAGAAGTATTCTCTTGACTGGGCACTGATGGTTCATGCCTATAATCCTAGCTACTCAGGAGGCTGAGATCTGAGGATCACAGTTCAATCAATGCCAGCCCAGGCAAGAAAGTCCACGAGACTCTTTTCTCCAATGTACCACCAGAAACCTGGAAGTGGTACAATAGCCTTGAGTGAAAGAGCTGAGGGACTGCACCCAAGCTCTTAGTTCAAGCCCCAAAACCAATAACAACAACAAAGTATTCCTTCTTCCTAGATCTCCATCTTTGTTCTCTGCTCCCTTCCCAGAAGGGAAGAATTTCCACAGCAGGGAAATGGGGCTAGAGGGTTGCCTCCCCCACTTCATGTGCTAGCTATCTTCTTCTTAGCCATTATATCACCCCAGATGGTCTGATGACAAAAAAATTAGTTTGTAAAGTCATGATTTAATAGTTTATTTAATATTGATGAATGTCTATTATGTGCTTGGCACTAGAATGCAGGAGTCAGCAGGACTACTTGGTGGAGATGAAATTATTTTCAATTAAGTCAGTAAAATGTAGCTGGGGGGCTGGGAATGTGGCTTAGTGGTAGAGTGCTTGTCTAGCATGCATGAAGCCCTGGGTTCTATTCCAGTACTACATAAGCAGAAAAGGCCTGAAATGGTGCTATGGCTTAAGTGGAAGAGTGCTAGTCTTGAGCAAAAGAATCTGAGAGATAGGGTCCAGGCCCTGAGTTCAAGCACCAGGACCAACAAATACACACACACAAAAATAGAGCTGGGTGTGGTGGCTCACACCTGTAATCCTAGCTGTTCACGAGGCTGAGAACTGAGGATTGTACTGCTTGAAGCCAGCCCAGAAAAACAAAGCTGTGAGACAAAAAATATGAGACCCTTTCTGAAAAATTACAAAGTGTGAAGGACTAGAGATAGTTCAAATGATAGAGCATTTGCTCAGTAAGCTCAAGCCCCTAAACTCAAAATATTACTGCCAAGAAAAAAAAAGGAAAGGGAAGGGAAAGGATGGGAAGGGAAAAGAAAGGAAGGGAAGGGGGAAAGGATTGGCTGTGAGTGGGGTCAAGGAAGAGATAGATTAAAGAATTCTCTGGGGAGGAAGTGGTGCTGTAGCTCAAGTGGTAGAGCACTCGCCTTGAGCTGAACAGATGAGGGACAGAGCCCAGGCCCAGAGTTCAAGTCCCACAACCGACAAAAACAAACAAACAAGAATTCTTTGGAGAATAAAAATCCAAGGTGGTTTCTTTTCTCTCCAGTACAGGGATTTGAACTCAGGGACTTTGAACTCAGACTGACTCAGCTTGCTTGTTTGGCTGGTGCTCTACCACCTGAGCTACACTTCCTGGCTGATTATTTTGGAGATGAAGTCTTATGCACATTTCTGTTCAGGCTAGCTTCAAACCAGATCTTTCAGATTGCTGTTTCCTGAGTAGCTAGAAGTACAGGCATGAGCTACCAATGCCTATCAGTGTTCAGATCTTGGTATTTCACTGAGGGATGGGTGAGGCAGGGTTTTCTAGAATGACATCCTAGTTTTTGGTCGGGAAACTTACTGTATGAGATTGAAGGCAAATAGCTGCAAAAAGACCTAACTATATAGCAGGATCTTACACACAGCTACAGACTCAGCCTCCCTTCCTCACCAGGCCACAGCACAAAGAGACACTAAGAGTGAGGTCAAGAGAGGGCATTGGTAAGAATCCAGGATCTTCAATTCCCCTTCTCATCCTGGCCTCATCTCATCATTCTGTACCATGGAGTAAATTCAGCCACAATCAATATACTACACTCAAGAGAAGGAAAAGAGGACTGAGAAGATAAAATATTCAATATAACAGTTCTTATTTCATAAATGAGGAACAGTAAATACACAACATGTTCCTTCAATAAGAAGGAGAAAGAGGCTGGGCACCCACGGCTCATGCCTATAATCCTAGCTACTCAGGAGGCTGAGATCTAAGGATTGCAATTCAAAGCCAGACCAGGCAGGAAAGCCCATAAGACTCTTTTTTTTTTTTTGTCGATCGTGGGGCTTGAACTCTGGGCCTGGGCACTGTCCCTCAGCTCTTCAGCTCAAGGCGAGCGCTCTACCGCTTGAGCTACAGCGCCACTTCCGGTTTTCTGGTGGTTTATTGGAGATAGGAGTCTCACAGTCTCTCCTGCCCGGGCTGGCTTTGAACCACGATCCTCAGATCTCAGCCTCCTGAGTAGCTAGGATTACAGGCGTGAGCCACCAGTGCCCGGCAAGCCCATAAGACTCTTATCTCTAATTAACTACCAGAAAACTAGAAGTAGAGCTATGGCTCAAAGTAGTAGAATGCTAGCCCTGAGTGATAGATCTCAGAGACAGAGCCCAGGCCCTGAGTTCAAGCCCCACAACCAACTAAAACAATCAGCCCAACAAAGAGAAAGAGAGATAGCACTAAAGCCATAGGCTATAGCCAGGTAGCCAAGCTTCCTTCAGCCTACCCTCCCCTACCTTTGTTCTATCTATAGGGAGAAGTTCAGCAGTGGGGGTTCTTGATCCAGGCAGATGACTAACCTTTCTTCCAGAGGAGGCTGAGCCTTGGCTGGAACTCTGCATAAAGGAGCACTTTCTCCAGCTCACCTTTTCTGATCCCTTTCTTGGCCACACCCAACTATAGTTAACTACCACAGGAGTCCTTGAGCCTCAGGGATGGTCTGTCTGAATCCCCTTCAGAATGTTTTTCTTTTCTTTTTTCTTTGTTTCTTTTTGTCGGTCATGGAGCTTGAACTCTAGGCCTGGGCACTGTCCCTCAGCTCTTCAGCTCAAGACGAGAACTCTACCACTTGAGCCACAGTGCCACTTCCTGCTTTTTTCTGCTTATGTGGTGCTGAGGAATTGAACCCAGAGCCTCCTGCATGCAATGTAAGCACTCTACCACTGAGCTACCTTTCCAGCCCCCCAGAATGTTTTTCTAATGCACCACTTCCACTTAAAGGAATCATCACATTTGTCCTGGAAGTGTTCATGGTTCCTTCTAGTGCTCCTTCCTCACATATGCAAACCTCAGGATAGCAGTGACAGGAGGAAAGACACATTCTGACAGGGGATCATTGACAGGATCCAACCTGTCTCATTCCAGAGGTCCTTGAGAATTTTAGCCATGAAAGAAAAGCCCAGTGTGTTGTCTCTGGTTCAGTTCAGAGCACAGCTGGCAGCCTTTTGAAGGCAGCTCACCTGGGGTCTCCCAGCAGGGCTAGTGGCATCACATAGGGCCTATATCAGAGAAGGCTGTCTGTCTGTCTGTCTGTCTCTCTCTCTCTCTCTTTTACTCTCTCTCTCTCTCTCTCTCTCTCTCACACACACACACACACACACACACACTTGACTTCCAGCTGTTACACACATGATGCCATCGGTGAGCCCTGCCATCATTAGCCTCTGCCCTTCTTTTTTTTATTTTATTGTCAATGTGATGTACAGAGGGATTACAGTTACATATATAAGGTAGTGAGGGCTGGGAATGTGGCTCAGTGGTAGAGTACTTGCCTTGCAAGCATGAGGCCCTGGGTTCGATTCCTCAGCACCACATAAGCAGAAAAAAAAAGTCGGAAGTGGTGTTGTGGCTCAAGTGGTAGAGCGCTAGCCTTGAGCTGAAATGCTGAGGGACTGCGCCCAGGCCCAGAGTTCAGGCCCCATGACTGGATCCAAAATAAATAAATAAATAAGATAGTGAATATATTTCTTTTTTTTTT